GGGCGAACAACAGCGCACATTTCAGGCGCAGGTGGCATTTCAAGTTGGGTTTGTTGAGCGGCTCTGGAACCAACCATGAGACTTTTGGTGGTTCCGAGCCATCCGGTTCCTTAGCATGTTTTTTTCTTTAGCTTTTTTGGGTTTAGTGTCCATTTAACCCACGAAAAGTTCAGCTTTTAGCAGGGGATCAGAGGACAGCCCATGCAAGAGCTGGTTGCCTTCGGTGGAACCAGAGCCTTGACCTGCGAGCGTCAGCTCTCAACCTGTGGGTCAAAGCCCGGTTGCAGACACAAAAGCATTCCCAAAGACACCCCCACAGTCGAACTAGACAAAGAACTAAAACCCTCAAAAGCGCTCCGCGAAAATGTTCCTCAACACATCCCCAGAGGCATCGCGGCATCACCCAAACCCTTCCGACGCGACCGAGGTAGCTGTCAGCCAGCCAGAGAGGCCAAAACCCGGTTGCTCTTTTCGAGACTTCTATTCCCGCACCACACGCGCACGCACGTTTCTCGCATGCAGAGCTACCTTTCAAATAGGGTCCGTTGACAACCTGTTCAACCTTTACAACCTTTGCAACCTGTTCAGCCTTGACAACCTGTTAAACCTGGACAACATGTTCAACCTTCACAACTGTTTCAGCTGTTTTTGTTTGCAACCCTCTCAACCCTGACTAATACGACTTTGGCAACCGTTTCAAACTTCACAACCTCAACCTTTGCAACCTTGACGACCTTTTCGACCTTGATCTGCTAAACCTTCAACCTTTTCAACGTTTTACGCGGCACAACCCTCCTGAGGACCTCTTCGCGCGGCAGCTGCCGCGGCTGCGGGTGGCTATCTTCAACGCACTGCCGGGGTCACGCGTCTCCCCCCACCCGGCGGCCATATGCCGTTCGGTGGCGAAATCGGGGGAGAGGTGTTATTACCCCCATTTAGGCTTGATGTCTTTCCTTCAAGTACCATCCGAAAGCGGGTCACCATTTTCAGAAACACGAATGTGAGCAATTTATACGTATGTTCCAAAGTATGGATTTGGACCTGAACCAATCCCCTAGACCAACCTGAAAAGGCTCAAAAAGCAGTTGTGGGTGTATGTCAGGGAATTGCAAACAAGCTCTAATCAACAAGTGCTGATCACCAGCACAGGACGATCATGAGTGTGGCATCCTAAAGGCACCCGTTTGTTGGAACCCATTTAGGATCATCGTGTGTGTGTGTGCGTGTGGGGAGCCAAATGGAACACATACATCAAGCCATCCATTTCGGAGGGAGACAAACCTAATGAACACTGATCGTCTATTTTTTACAAGCTTTCTGTTTGCAAGAATTGAGCTTCTAGGGGGTTGAATGAGCAAGACTGGCAAGTGTCCATGGCACATTCCCCTCCAACTGATATAGCGCCCAAAAAGAAGGTCCGCGTCTCTCACGGCCTTCGGCTGAATAATTCTGAAGCCGCACTTCTGTGATACCTGGCTGAACTGCCTGTTCAACTTGTCATTGGGAAACAGTGTTGCCTCAGGGCCGGAAATTGTGGCTTTTGCTGGCTTCGGCGTGTGTGGTTTGTGTGGCTTTTTATCTCCTCTCTCCTCTCCTCTCTCTCCTCTCTCTCCTCTCTTTCCTCGCTCTCGTCTCTCCGCTCTCTCGTCTCTCTTTCTCTCTTTCTCTGTATTTTCTCTTCCTGCTTCTCCTTCTCGTTCCATCTCTCTCTCTCTCTCCAGCTCTCTCTGTCTCGCTCTCTCGATTTGCCTCCTGCCTCTCGCACTCAGTTATGACCAGCAAAATGCTGTCGCCAAACCCGGGTTAATGTTGGGCCACCTTGCAAAGGGACCACAAGGAGGGAAAGGCCCACGAATTTGACAAGGCCTTGGCATCACGAGGCGAGCTCAGAAGAGTTGCAAAGACAGTCAACAGATTTCAAATGGAAGGAGCGCAAACGATGTGTTGAGAGACCCTTGAACTTCCTTATGCCGAGAAGGCGAACAGCATGCTCCCCAAGCATTGCAAATGAGCCAAGCACCTCTACCCGCATAGCGGTGTGGTCAATTGCTCAGTTTGTTCCCCTCGCGTGAAAGGTTCATTCCCGTGGCTCCGAGGCTGTAGAACTGCTTTAGTGACTACGCCCTGGTTCTACAGCAAGGCCAAAAAAGAGATCGGGTGCAGGGCATGTGGGTCGAGTGACTCCAAGTGATGGCTGTTTCATCCGCAACTCTTTGAGGTAGAATTGGCCCCGATGAGCCGGAAACAAAAAATGACCCAACAGCATGCTGTTTCTTGGTGGCATGAGTGGTTCCCTTGGCTGTTGAAAGGAGAATAGAAACTCGCCAACTTTGGTTGCCCACTTCAAGCCTTACCCAAACTCTTGAGTCTGAAGTCATGTTTGGCCGGAGCATGTTTGTTTTTTGCTCACGGGAACACGGCAATGTCCCACCAAATCCGGGCCCCCATGTCTCGGGGAAGCAACGTGTTCTGCTCATTTGTTGCCTCATGTGGGTGTGTCTTTTGTAAGTTGTTTAGTAGCTCTTTCGAAGATGCCCACAAACTCTCCATCGTCTTATTCTGTTTGCCACGTGACATTGCCAAGATCGTCTTGGCGTTCAAGGTCCCTTTTTTTTCTGAAGAAAGGCAGGGCCTGACTTTATGGTGTTCGTGAATGTGTGTGTGTGTGTGCGCGCATTCTGTTTGGAGGTATACAAGAAACGAATTGTACCGCATTTGGTAGACCTTGTTCCTGAGTGATTGACTGTGACAATCAGACCTATCCTCGAAGCCGAGCCCTATGACCCCCGGGGGTGTGCCGCTGTTAGCGACCTTGCCATGACTCTTGAACCATTGCTCTCCACATGTCGTTGTCAGCCATTTCAAGATCACTCACGTTTCGGGCGTATGTTGAGTGACTTGCCTGGGAGGGCCTGGTTTTAGTAGCCCGAACACCTGTGTCAGGCTGTGGCACGGTTCACCCAAACTTCGGCAGTGCACATGGAGAACGGCGCATGGATGAGTCCCGGGCTTAGCATGTTATCAGACTTGGAAGCCATTTGTGACGACCTCCTGCAGCATGTTGCGCTTCCATAGGGGGGTGGGGTCCAAACCACCTTTGTTTGACAACCTGACAGATGCCAGCCAACCAAGAATGGCGTAGGAGCACCATGCTGGGGTATCCGCCATATAAAATATGAAATGAACTACCACAAGGGTCTGGGCAAATTAGGGTGACTGCACCTACCGGGGCTTTGCGCTGTTGCCCGGATGAAGGAAGATCATAGGAATCCCGTATCTTGGGTTGGTCATAAACCGCCCAGATAATTGCTCTTCCTGCCTGTCTTTCTTTCTTTCTTTCTTTCTTTCTTTCTCTCTCTCTCTCTCCCCCTCTCCCCCTCTTGTTTCCTCTGTATTCTGAATCCACAAGCAGGGCCAGAGTGGCGTGTTGTTTCCGTGTTCGGTTGGCGTGCTCTATTCTCCTGACAAGCTTGCCCATGAGAACTCTGGTAGGGGGCGTGGGTAATTAGCTTCTGTCCGTAAATACAAAAGTGCTCGCCCAGATCAGTTGGGACAACCTCTCAAAAGGAAGTTGCAACCTTGCAACCTCGCCCATGCAGGTTTCTTTCAGCGACCCCTTTGTTGGAGTCGGTTCATTCTCATATACTCAGTTCTTCAACGCCCAATTGGTGGGCGAAATGTAAGTGGTGTCCATCAAGAGGGTCCCCAAGAAAGGATAAAGAGACCCCATGCGAAGCCAGGGCCAGGTTTCTCCCCGAACCTGGGGGATACTGCGCTCTTGGGGCGTCCAGGACCTAGTGACTAACGCGTCTTCGATCATATGTCCTGCCTTGTCCGGCGAGCAAGACGATCAAAAGAAGGACCTCCAAGTGACCAACTCGTCTTCTGCTGCAGGCTCACGCTATTTCACTGTGGCTGAATCATAGTTGCCGAGCTCACTGGGGATAAAACGAGCTCACCCGTGATCAAGGCCCTTTGGAGGATTCCTGAAATGCAGTGTGCGAATCAGAGTACCATCCCACCACTTTCACGTGGAAGCTGACCTTCGAAAATCCTGGTTTGGACCATTTTCCGTTTAAAGGGACCCCCGTTCGTCAGGTTCCATGTGAAAAGGGTGGGAGGGTAGCATTTGACAAATGTCGTTTGACAGATGACCAGTTGCAATGGGAGCAACTTGCCTGATCCGCGCATCGCAAGGGATTTTTTTTGTCTGAGGCGTGCTGCCACCGGTCAAGGTCGAGCTGTTGCAGGCGCCCGTCAATTTCACAGCTTCTGACCTCACCCCAGATGGTGGTTTTAGTTGGGGATATCCCTCCAACCACCTTATTTCAGGCTGGTGAAATATTGTAATTCACCCAGACAGGTTTCTGGTGCGATAGGAAGGGAATGAGGGATGAACCGTTTTGGGATTCCCTTTAATTTACGCCACAAGGCATGGTGTATAGGGGTCATTCCATTTCTCATTCCCCGCTGAGCACCAGCAAGTTTCCTCAGGTCTGGTTTTGACAACAGGTGGCACCGATTTTAGTTTGGCTCTATTGAACGGTTCCTGTTGCATTGCTCAAGACGGCGAGGGTGGACTGAGCCCCAAATTGTAGGGTTGCTGCAACCCCAAACTGGGGCGTGCCCTTTTTCTCCAGGAAAAGAAACATCTCGCCCAGCTAAGAAAAGGCCCCTGTTGAGGCCCTTGAGCAACGTGCTGGTTGTTTCTTCAAGCCTGCTAAAGTCATTTGGCCCTTTGAACTCAGCAAGGTGTTGCTTTTCGAGTATTTACCCCTTGTCTGGTGCTTGTTTTCTGCGGACAACACTTGGGGTGAGAAGGGCTTCGGAATAATTTTGTTTGTGAAGGGTGCCCCTGGCGTGGCCACAAAGGACAGCCTGGGGCCTGGTGAAAAGAGACGCGGTCCGGGGGAGAGAACTGGCTTTGGCCTGGTGGACTTCACCAAGCGCTCCTTTGGAAGGGGAAGTTCCCCGTGCATGGCTGCAAAATCCGAAACCGCGCCACGAAATGAGTTACCCATGGTTGAAACCATAACGTTTGTTGGCATTTGCGTTGGGAGAATCGAATCATAGGGTTTCTGAACGTTCGCGAAATGGATTTCGTCCACTTTTTTCATGGTATCTTTTGGGACAACTTGGTTTCCTCTGGTGCATGTGGCCTTTTTTAGAGGGTGACATCATACCCTTAACAACTGGTTGGGGTAGGACTGCCTTCGGGTTGAAGCTGTTCGCCCGATTCTCTGGAGCAGCCGGCGAAACGGAATCTGAGGGAAGCCGACCTTTGAGCCGTTTGGTCCATTTTTGATAAAGCTCCAAAAGGTTATCCCTCCATAAATCGCTGCGGATACAAGCCTTCTTAATTCCTTACGCTCTGGGTAAACTATTTTAGTACTGGGTTTTGATTGTGACTCAACTGAGTTCACAGTCAAGGCCCCTGATGATGCTGAGCTCCTGGGTTTCGCCATTCCAAGAGGTCAACCTTGGTGTCAAGATGGCCCCGGGCGGTGGTGTTTGGGCCGCAACCCCCCCTGGGACACCTCGCTGCTTGGAAGCCCTGCAAGTTTCGTGGAAACCGTCGACCTCTGAGGAACGAAGTTACGGGGTTTGGAAATCGCACCCTGGGTGGATCAAAACAGGGATCTTTTTTGAAGTTGCTTTGCACTTTTGGAGGTTTGTTTGGTCAAGGGCAAAAGCAAAAAAACACGAAGTTGCAGGCCCTGTGAAAAGCGCGAGGCAGAAGACATTTGCGCTGGCCGCCTTGTTCGACCTTCCGGGCCGTACAGCATCTAGGTCTGCAATGAGCTGTCTTCACCCCCTCTTTGCTTTGAAAGGGAGTCGAAAGCGAACTCAACTGCCTCATCTCTCTTGCCCACTAACGCCCTTGTTCCTTCGTTTTTGGGAAGTGTTCCGATTCCTTTCAACTCAACCAGCCGAAAAAAATCGGATGCCCTTTTTTTCCCATGGCCACTGGGCATCTGAGTCATTCTGCGCTGCGCACATGAGCACCTGGCAACCTTGCTGTGGCCCATGCGCCGATGTCGGCCATGCTTCCCACTGGCGAAATTGGCCAACGTGTGGCAAAAGCGATCGGATTGGATTCGCAAGATGTGCAAGTGGTGTGACTTCTACCGGTTTGGTATGTTGAAGTTTAGACCCTGGTTCATAGGCAAAGCGGTCGAATAGGATGCGTTCGTGCCTGACACTGGCCGTTCGTGCCTGGTGCGTGGTCCCCGCATTTGGACCACCCTGTTGCTTGTTAGGTGGGGATCAACTTCCCCTGCACATGCTGTCACAATGGTGACTTCACACTGACCCACCGACTCACCGACTCACTGACTCACTGACTCACTGACTCACTGACTCACTGACTCCCTGCATGGTTTTCCAACCTCAACCGACATGTTTTTGTTGACCCACAAAGATGTAAAAAGGCAGAAACATTTGAAGAGGTGGCAATTGTATAAACAACGTTGTAAAATATATGGCGATGATGCTCGATGTTCCGGTCGATTTTCGAGGAAAATCCCGGCTAGGTCCCCCAGTAGTGCCCTTTCACCCTTTTTTGGGGGGAGGGTTCCCCCACTAGAATCCACTACAGAAAAACGGGTACCCTGATTCTAACCTCTCCACTCGAGGACCCTGGCGCCGGGCTTCAACTCGAATCGGTTTCTCCTTGGATCAACTCCCGGCCCGGAGCACGTCAGGCGCGGGCTACGATGTGCTACTGGTGCCAGGGGGCTCCGCCAAGGCGAAAGGGGGGGGGGGGGTTTGGTGCGACAGGTGGGGAATGTGGTTGAATGAACCCAGGCTTTGGGATTCCTGAAAGGAAACCACCAGTTATGATGTTTTTTGTTAGGGGTCATTTCAGTTCTCATTCCCTGCTGAGAGCAAGATTAATCAACCCCAGTTTAGGGGGTGTCCCTGGGTGAAATGCAGGGAATCAGACCACTTTTGGAGGGGTGGAAAAAGTGTGGGATCAACATTACTATTCAAAGACCAAAGCCCTGAGCGCTTGGGCAAAGGTCATTGGCCAGATTCTGCTTCTGTTCATGGGGAGTGCGAGCAACTGGCAAACATGAGCTGTTTGATACTGTGGATGGACGAAATCCTGCACCACTTGGAAACAATGGGAAACCATTGTTTGTTGGTATTTACAGGGGAATCGTCATTCTAGGGTTTCTTAGGTGGTGCAGGATTTCGTCCATCTATAGTATTTTGACCACCGCCGAAGGCTCGTGATCCTTCCCTCAAACTGTGGCTCTGAGACCCGTTTAGACGACGTGCCAAGAGACCTCACACCCACCCGGCGTCACAGGCCCTCGACTTCGCTAGCAAACCCCTCCATGAGGAGAATCAAGCAGAAGGACCCAAAAGAAGCCACAGATTTAGATACACACACTATGTATATATATATATATGTATGTGTGTATGACATAGAAAAATATATGCATGTAGATATAATATATATATATATATACATAACACACATATACATATCCTTTTTGTAGCTTTGTAGATGCACACATACACATATCTGTACTCACTTCCTGACTTGAAACTTGGGAAGACCATTTTGGTGGTGAATAAACAGTTCCAGGACTTTTTTGGCCAGTCCACTCGATCGGAAGTGAGCAGCCCCATGGATCTCTAGCAAGCACTCGTGAGAGGAGACGGCCTTTCGACTCTGAACTCTGGTTAAGGAGTTTGTTTTGTCAGTCAATATTGCCAGGCTCCAGACATGAACCCCCCAAAAAGGGGTTCATGTCCAGCCAGCCAAGCAAGTTGTTTTAGGGCCGAACTGGGTCAAATCATGTTTGTTCTTGGTTTTGAAATGTACCCTGCAACCTTCCAGAAAGTTGTGCCCGAACTCCCAAACAGATGTTCGCTTGGGGTTGTGCTTGCCCCAGAAAAGGCCTTTGCAACCGCGGAGAAACAGGGCAGAAACGGCTTAAGGAAGGATCTGGCTTATACATCGTAGGGACCCCACTGAACCGCAATCCCCCAATTAGTACAGTAGCATAGACAGTTCCCCTGTAAACACGAGTTTTGCTTGAGGCTTCCTCGTTTCAGAGTGCAAGAGAAGGCAACACGAAACCACCACCCCCCTTACCGTTGGGCGGACCGTGGAGAAGCACATAGCGCCGGCAAAAGCTACAATTTGGCCACTAAAAAGCCCATGGAAGTCAGATACCGTTTTGGCCAGAGTTCAGCTTTCAATCCATTGGCCCCAGGCCTTGGCCAGTCAAAAAGCTATCGCCAGACCGAAACAGAGGTGCATGTTGCTTGGATGTTAGGACTTTAACTTTCTGCCAACTAATGGGTTTTCCATGAAACCAAAGTTAAACTTTTAGCAGGGGAGCAGATGTCGCAACCGAGAAACGCAACCGGGTGGATAGGCCAAGGCCAGTGCAAAGCTAAAAAAGATCGCCAGACCAAAAGCAAACCACCTTCGGGAGCTTTCTTCGAGCCTAAAAAGTTCCCCTGTAGGGGGGGGGGGCTTTAGACACGAAGTGATGTAAGGGGAGAATCCCTCAATCTGTTTTGCAGGCCAAAACCATGGCAAACCGATGAGGAAAAAGAAAAAATACACCAGCATAGACCCCAGATAGCACACCACGGCTACGAACCATGACGCAGCATCATAATGGTTCCCGCGGCATCATGATGATGCTGACAGCATCATGATGATACCACAGCCTTCAGCATGGTGCGCTAAATAAACGCGCGCACAACGTCCTAATGATCATCTTGCGACAGCGTAATGAAATTCAGCACCATCCTGATGTTGACAGCATCATGGCGCCACCGCACCCACAAGCCATAACGCAGCATCGCAGTGATTCCAGCAGCATGACGTGGCTAACTACATCATGATCTACGCGCCACAGTTAGAGCAGCAACAACGTCCGAATCGGTTCAGCTGACAGCATCATGATGCTGCGGACAGCATCATGATGATGCCACAACCGCGATACCGCAAACAGCACCCGCCCTAGCACCCTGCCACCCATATTAATGTGCGCCCGCACCGTCACCAACACCTCAAAACAGCAGCCCCAACAGCACCCCAACGCAGCACCTGCGCCAGCACCGGACATGTCCCCAATCACCCTGCCGTCACGTACTGTCACCAGCACCTCAACTGAACAGCACGCACTCGCGCCAGTAGCCCAAAGTGCGTGCCCCCTAGCTCCCAGCCGTCGATCTTTCTTCATTAGAAGGGAAAAAAGCACTTGCACCACCACCCCATAGCACTCGCCGGCAATCTCGGAAAATTGCGCCCGCAACGTCACCAGCACCTCAAACAGCACCCCAAACAGTACGTACCCCAAAACAGCACCTGTATCAGCACCCCAAACTCCATGAGGCCATCAATCTCGCAAAAATGCGCCTGCGCCTTCACCAGCACCTCGAGCAGTACCCCAGACCACCTGCACCAGCACCACCTCCGCCAGCGCCGCAAACTGCATCCTTTCTAGGGCCCGGCCAGCACCTCCACCCGCACCCCAAACTGCATACCCCCCAGCACCCGGCCGGCAAGCTCGCAAAACAGCATCCACCAGCACCCCAAACTGCATGCCCCCCAGCACCCGGCCGTCAAGCTCGCAAAACAGCATCCACCAGCACCCCAAACTGCATTCTCCCTAGCACCCGGCCGTCAAGCTCGCGAAACAGCATCCACCAGCACCCCAAACTGCATGCCCCCTAGCACCCGCCCGTCAATCTCGCAAAACAGCATCCACCAGCACCCCAAACTGCATGCTCCCTAGCACCCAGCTGTCAAGCTCGCGAAACAGCATACCAGCACCCCAAACTGCATGCCCCCTAGCACCCGGCCGTCAAGCTCGCGAAACAGCATCCACCAGCACCCCAAACTGCATGCCCCCTAGCACCCGCCCGTCAATCTCGCAAAACAGCATCCACCAGCACCCCAAACTGCATGCTCCCTAGCACCCGGCTGTCAAGCTCGCGAAACAGCATACCAGCACCCCAAACTGCA